GAGAACTTTGCTGCTTGTAGTCGGCTGCCACAGAAATCCCTACTCAAAACTCAGAGCTCCGAGTCCATCAGCGGTGGTAGCTCTGTCAGCATGCCTCTTCCACAAGGGCAGGTGATTATGGTCAGGCCCGCTGGTGGCAAAGACCAAGCCTGAATTACTGTGTCTTTCAAGGTACAGGCAGCTGCGAGTCTCTAGATGTGCTGTGAACCAAACTGGCGTCCTCTGCAAGAGCAGCAAGTGCTTTTAACTGAGCCATCTCTCCAGCCCCAGCAATTACACTCTTAAAAAAGAAATATTGAGATTCTTGGAATAGCTGTGTTCTTTTTAAAAAGTGCAGAAACTTAACCTTTATGAGTACCAAGATCCTGCTGGTTGCCAACAGGGCCATATTCCATGCCTTCTGACAGATTGACAGCCATGGAGAGAGCCCTGCCACACTGTTTGACCACTCTGACTGATCAGGAAAGTGCTTATTTAGAGTAACAGCACTTCTTGGATTTTCTTTTTTTTTTTTAAGAATTAAATATTCCTTCAGTAGAGCATTTTAAAAATTTATTTTTATTTTATGTGTATTGTTGGTTTGTCTGCATATATCTACGTGAGGGTGTTGAACCCAGATCCTCTGGAAGAGTAGTTAATGCTCTTAACCACTGAACCATCTCTCCAGTCCCCCACTCCTTGGACTTTTTTTTTTTTTTTTTCTGGTTTTTTGAGACATAGTTTCTCTGTAACAGAGCCCTGGCTGTTCTGGAACTCGCTTTATAGACAAGACTGGCTTTGAACTCAGAGAGATCTGCCTCCTGAGTGCTGCAATTAAAGGGATGTGCCATTATGCCTAGTGACATCTTGGTTTTTTATTGTGAAAAGAAAATGTTCAGTTTTGGGGGAAATATTAAATTATAAACATGAATTAATTGTTATGATAAACAGTGAATGAATAGATTTAATTTTCCTCACAGAATAGTTAGCAAAACGTCCTTCAACATGGCATTTACATCATTAGCATTAAGTTGTTTGTCAGAAATATGTGTAACATATGTATCCAGAGTCAGATGTGCTGGCTCATGCCTGTAATCTCAGTGCTCAGGGCAGATGCAGGAGAATCAAGACTCCAGGGCCAGTCTGGGCTACATAGTGAGACCTTGTAAAAAACAAAAACTACAACAACAAAAAAAACATTCTAAATATCTGTATCTTGCATCTTACTGCCATCTTTGTGTGAGTGAGTGTGTGTGTGTGTGTGTGTGTGTGTGTGTGTGTGTCATGTGTCTGTATATATTTCCCACAAGGGTTTCTATTAATCTTTTCATAGTCAAATTATTCTTGAGTCCATTGCAAAGAATATGGTGTTTGCTTGCTTATGACCATAAAAATAGTAGACTCGGAAAGCTCAGTATTCATAGATAATATTGACAGAATGAAAACCATCTATTGGAACCTTTGGCATTTCTTGTGAGCATCTTAGAGGCAAAGGAAACCTCCAATCATGTTGACGTCTATGCTGCTTGCTGTGCTGTGAATGATCACATCTTTAATTTCTGATCTGGGAGATGCTTAGGTCCCTTGTCAGCATACAAAGAGTGAACTTGGACTAACCTGACAGTAAGCAGGACATCGAGTATGTCATGTGATGAAGCATATAGAACCACAGGTATCTGTAGCTTCATATCATTGCCCAGATTAAGATACAATTTCAAGTTCCACAGAGAGCTTGACCCCTGGGACCTGGGGTCTCTAAAGCACTCTGTTAGTTTTGCCTAGTTTTCAATGTCATATAAATGCAATGATATGCGTTTTTCTTCTTTTGTTTTTGTTTTTCGAGACAGCGTTTCTCTGTGTAGTTTTGGAGCTTGTCCTGGAACTCACTCTGTAGACCAGGCTGGCCTTGAACTCACTGAGATCCGCCTGCCTCTGCCTCCCGAGTGCAGGGATTAAAGGCTTGTGCCACCACTGCCCGGCTTTTACTTTATTTTTATATCTGAAGTTCAGTCATATTTTGTGTCTGGAGTGATATATTACATCACTTGAATTCATTTCCATGATTTGGGGCTTTTATATGCTGTGGACATACGCTTGTCTTTTTAGTTCACAATATTCATTTATGTTGGACATATACCTGGAAATAGAATTGTTGGACCACAAGGATAATTGTTTAGCATTAGTGGATGCTGTTAAACATTTTCCTAAGTGGCTGAGTTGCGATATATAAGAATTTCATTTGGTCTGTATTATGAATGTTGAATTCTCCCCTCCGACCTCTTTGACATATTAAGAGCCTTCTGGGCACAGAGCTTGTGGTGGTATAGCTGGGTCAAATGGCAGTTTGATGTTTAATTCTTTGGGAACCTCCATAGTGCTTTCATGTGGCTGTACCACTTCACATTTACGTCTGTAGTGAGCAAGAGTTCTTCCTTACCCAGAGTTTGTTAATGACAGCCATTCTGTCTGAAAAAGATAGAATCTCCAAGTAATTTTAGTTTGTGTTTCCCTGATGGGTAAGGATGTTGAACACTTGATCAAACATTTATTTGCCATTTGTATTTCTTCTTTTGAAATTTGTCTATCATTTCAGCAGCCTACTTTTTTGGTGTTAGTATTTGTAGTTCATTATTCTAGGTATCAGTCCCCAGTTTACTGTGTACTTTCTGAAGAGTTTATCTCCTGTTCTGTAGTCTATCTCTTCACTATGCTGATTGTTACCTTTGCTGTGCAGAGCCTTTTGATTTCACAGTATCCCATTTGTCAGTTCTTGGGAATGTTTCTTGTACTGTTGGAATCATTTCAAAAGAGTCCCCTGCTGTATCTATATCTTGATGAGTTTTATCTATGGTTTCCTCTAGCAGTTTTAGAGTTTCAAGTCTTGCATTAAGATCTTTGATACAGGGGCTGGAGAGATGGCTCAGCAGTTAAGAGCACTGGTTGCTCATTCAGAGGACCTGGGTTCAATTCCCAGCAACCACTTGGAGGCTCACAACTATCTATAAATCCAGTTACAGGGAATCTGACACCTTGACACCAATGCACATAAAGTAAATTCAAATTATTAAAAAATCTTTGATCCATTTTGAACGGATTCTTCTGCATGCTGATATGTAAATTTCCTGTGCCATTTGATGAAGAATCTTTCTATTTTCGTATATATCATTGTTTGGACCTGTGTGGGTTTATTTCTGGGTCTTGTATTCTACCCCATTGGCCTACATGTCTGTGTCCTGCTAGTATCATAGAGATTTAGTTCCTCTGGCTCTGTAGTATCATTTGAGATTTGATTGTTGTGGTACTTCCAGCGTGGCCTTTTCTGCTTAGGGTTGTTATGGTTATTTGGAATCTTTGGCACTCAGTGTGAATTTCAGGATTTTTTTTTTTTTTTATATTTCTGTGAAGAGTATCATTAGAATTTTATGGGGATTATGTTTTATCTGTAGATTTCTTTGGGCGATAGGGCCATTTTTGCAGTATCCTGAGACTATGGCCATGTATTCAGTTTCTTCAGTATCTTTATAGTTGTATTTTTTAGAGATCTTTCACCTCCTTAGTAGATTTATTCCTCATTTTCTTAAAGCTGTTGTGAATGGCTTCTTTCTCGGCAAGTTTGCTATTAATACAAAGAAAAGCTACTGTTGTCTTGGTTGATTTTTGGATTCTGCTACTTTCCTGATGGTTTAGAGCTATAAGATTTTTTCTGGTGGAACATTAATATAGGACCATGTTGTCTGGAAATTGGGACAGTTTGACCTGTTTTTGTTTGTATCCCTTTCATTTCTTTTCTCTTATCTTACTGCTCTAGCTAAGACATTGAACGTTGTATTTAATAGGAGTGTGGAGAGCATGCCCTCTTGTCTTGCTTTCAGCTTCAGAGGAAATGCTCTCAAAATCTCCAGGTTTATAGATGTTGGCTAAAGGCCTGCTGTTTATAGTCTTTATTATGTTGAAGTGTGTTCAGGCGTTGACTCTGCAGGGATGTGGACTGTCAGCGGTCTTTTCTTCATCTCTTGAGATGATGGTGTGATTTTTGTCCTTAAGTCTGTTTGTATACTGTGTTACATTTAACACTTAATGATTTGTGTATGTTGTTGAATCATGCATCCTGTAATGATACTACATGCATTCTTAATGTATTCCTGAATTAGGTTTGCAAGAATTTTATTGAGACTTTTTGTCTAATGTATGGGAATATTGGTCTATATAGTTTTCTTTTTCTTTTAGGCTCTTACTTGGTTTTAGTTTCAGGTAAGACCTCATATAACCAGTTTGTAGTGTTCCTTCCTTTTCTTTGATAAACAGCACATGAAGAAGCATTTTTTTTAGTTGACATTCTTTTTCTAGACATTGTCCTGCTATTTTAGCTACTGTTTGTAGTTGGTGCTACAGCGATCTACAGGTAATTGTACCCACTCTTAGCACTAGAGCTCCATGGCATCCTCTTGCTATTTCCAAGGGCTTCTGGATAGAGCATCTTCCTTAACTCATACGCTTAACTATAGAAGCCCATACTCATTATAAAGTGCAAACTGACATTTTGAGCAGTTGAGTAACATTTATTTTCTACATCTCTTTAGCATCCTTCATTCTAAGATAGTTGACACTTTTGCGTTAGGCAGAGTTTGACAGTTTGATGCATCTACAGCTTTTTTTGGTTTTTCAAGACAGGGTTTCTCTGTGTAGCCCTGGGTGACCTGAAACTCACTATGTAGATCAGGATGGCCTCCAACTCAGATCCACGTGCCCCTACCTCCCAAGTGCTGCTTATGGCAACTCTTATTTAGAATTTTTCCATCTTAGATGGCTCTTACAACCTTTGCTTTGCTGCTCAACTATTTGTGTTCTAAAGAAGGGAGTAAATGGTTACAGGAATTTTAGAGACATTTTTGTTTTCTGACTTTATGCTTTTTGTTTTACTTTGAATGCTTTTTTACTTTTATTTATGTTAACAAGCATACTTTGAGTTATGTTGATTTGTGTTCTTAGATTGAATTAGGCTCTTTTCCCCTCTCTTTCAGGACTTGTGTGACTGAAAGAAGCATAGATGGCAGCTGTACAGTTCAGTGCCACTCCCTCTCCACTTGGGCCTTCTGCTTGAGACCTGCGTGTGACTTTTGGTCTATGAGCCACGCTTTTCATTTCTACTGACTTTGATTACAGGAAGGTCTCTGAAGATTCGTATCAAATGACGTCAATGGCCAGCTTGTTTTCTTTCACTAGTCCAGCCGTGAAGCGATTGTTGGGCTGGAAACAAGGTGACGAGGAAGAAAAATGGGCAGAAAAGGCAGTCGATGCTTTAGTGAAAAAGCTGAAGAAGAAGAAGGGTGCCATGGAGGAGTTGGAGAAAGCCTTGAGTAGCCCAGGACAGCCGAGCAAGTGTGTTACTATCCCCAGGTCCTTGGATGGACGCCTACAAGTTTCTCACAGAAAAGGCTTACCCCACGTTATATATTGTCGTGTTTGGCGCTGGCCAGATTTGCAGAGTCATCATGAGCTAAAGCCATTGGATATTTGTGAATTTCCTTTTGGATCTAAGCAAAAGGAAGTTTGTATCAATCCGTACCACTATAAGAGAGTGGAAAGTCCAGGTAAGTTTCACTTGACTGAGAAGAATTAAGAAGAAACAAAAAACCAACATGTCTCTCACTGGTTTGCATATAGCTAGGCTTATTACATTAGCCTTTGTTAAAAATTTTGTCTTAGGAGGAATAGTAGGTTTTAAATTTAGCTTTTTGAAAATTAAACTCTTGATTGGCTGTTGGAACTATCTCTAATAATACCCATTTCTCTTCTGTGGCTGACATCTGTCATGGTAAACACATGTTCCATGTTCATATTAGACTCTGCTTCCTCTAGTTTGGGAACTGTGTTGTCACACATCAACTATTTTTCTGGCTTTACATTTTCTCTGTCTACAAGAGTCTTTCTTTTCCATTAAATTACTTTTACTTTGTGTGTGTGTGTGTGTGTGTGTGTGTGTGTGTGTGTATCACAACACACATGTGGAGATCAGAAGACAACTTTTAGGAGTTAGGAGGTCTTTTCATGATCTTACTCATTACTCATTCTTCAGTGCCTAGGATAACACTCTTTACTAGTTGTTAGTAGGTAGTGGTCAGTTTTTTGTGTAGTGAATGAATTACATAAGCTGATGTCTTAGTCCTTTTATTGCTGCTATAGCAGAATACCACAGACTGGATAAGTTCACTCTGTTGAGAAGAATTAAAAACAAAATATGTGTCTCTCTAATTTGCACGTAACTAGGTTTATTAGCTAAAAGGTTACATTAGCCTTTGTTAAGGATTAACAGTAGAAGTCCTGGGGGGTAGGAAGTCTGGGACTAAGAGACTATCTGGTGTAGGTCTTCTAATTAACTGCGCCAAGGAACTGCACATGGGTGAGCAAGACAGAGTGAACAGAGGGAAGCATGAGCATAGAGAAAGAAACCTAGTTTGATTTTCCCTTGGGTGCCTGGGATCAAAACCAGAGTCTTGTGAATTTTAGGCGAGGGCTCTACAATGGAACTACACCCCAGCCCAAGCAACCTGTTGATGTAACTAGGAGTCTACCTCCACAGGTATACTATCTCATCACCTCTTGTTAGGCCCCACCTCCCAGCACTGTCATGTTGGGAATTAAGTTTCTGGCCCATAAACTTGGCAAGGTAGATTTCCCACAGCAGCTGAGATACTAGTTGTGTTTTTTTTAGTTATCTGTTGCTACACAATAAAATAGCCACACATGTAGTAGTTTAAACACAACACACATTTATTACCTTATAGTTTCTGGGAGTCAGGCATCTAGTTGCCCTTAACAGAACCTTTTGTGAGTTTCTAATCAAGGTGTTGATCAGGGCTGGGTTTTTCTCAGATGTTCAGATACATAAGGGGCTACTTTCAAGCTCACTATGATATTGATAAGATTTAGTTCCTATATAGGCCATTGGATTCTTGCTGACTGTTGGCTACAGACTGCCTTCATTTGCTTACTGTGTGGCCTTGCTCATCAGTAGTTCACCTTTATATTTGTTCTTACACTGTCATTTCCTCTCACAATATTACATTTTCTCTCTCTCCCAGACTATTTCTGATAGCATGCATGCATGTTATGGTGCTGTGTCTTCTTCAGAGCCAGTAAGAGCGTTTTTTCTGCAAGAGGGCATTGAATTCTTAGGGAGTATGACCACACACACCCCATTACTTTGCCATAATTCTGTTGATTAGAAGCAAGTCCTAGGTCATATGCTGAAGGGAGAGGATTGTCCAAGCACATGAACACCCAGAGTGTGTCTTCATACTGGAAGAATTGTGAGCCTGGTGTGGTTGAATGTGGAGACTTGTATGTTACAGTTCACCCACAAGTTGCTGCTTCATATTTGAGATGGGTCTCAGTTTCTTATGGAGCCCAAGGAGAGCCATAGTGTGAGGGAATTGAAGAAAAGAACAAGGTAGATTTAATGGAGAAATACTGTCTGAAAAATTCTCAAGCTAGGTATTTGCTAGCAATACATCTAAGAATTTTGTCTGTTTCTTCTCATAGTGAGGGTGTAATGGACAGTGGCCAGTAGAATTGTCTCTTTTAACCCACTTTATCATTTTGTATGAGGGACAGGAACAGTTAGAATACTTTAAAATAACTTCAGAAATATCTTACTAGTTCAGCTACTAGAAAGAAACTGTAGAAACCTCATGTGCTTGGTCCCAAGTCCACACATCTCAGAGGAAGGGGCAGCTTTGTTTATGAAGAGTAACTAGTGTTCTCCCTTGACTAAGCAGTCAGGACAGTAGATGCCTCACTTCCTGGTACAGTGCTAATAAAGGAGGGTGTTGGTGATATGGTGAGAGTGCACAGTTTGGAGTGCTCATGGACAAAAATGCTTTTCTAACTCTGGAGGTCTTTTGTTGTAGAGTTAGAGAGAGAAGCACTGACTTTCCACGGCATTGACGTATGCTAACTATGTAGACAAAGGAGCTAAGTCTTAACTTATACAGAGCACACAAGGAATATATATTGGAATGAGAAAGTGTTGCAGAAAGAAAAAGATGGGAGGTATAATGAGCATAGAAAAATAAGGCTAGCACAAATGGTCCAGTATTTTATTGACCAGAAAGTATTATCTGGTGGCTAAGGTTGTGGATTCTGGAGTCATGATTTTACTATATAGTTATTACCTGTAACCTCAGGCAGTTCACAAAATCTCTCTGTGATTTAGTGTCCTCTTTGATGGGGATAGATAATACTATTATTAACAACCTTACAGAGTTGTTAGGGAAATTGTTTGAGTCAGTGTGTATGTAAGTGCTTAAACATTATGTAGTCCCAGTTAGTTTCAAATCAAGGACCATTCTGGATCCATTCTGGAAATAAGAGCATATGGGGAGTGGGAGGAGAGAAAATTTTCAAGCAAACACTACTGCAGCTACTTAGAACTGAAAACTGTGAGAGTAAAGTGGCTAAACAATTAGAATAAAGGACTGAAAAAGACCTACTACTGATGGAGTTTTGGTTTATCACGGATACAAATATTCTGAAAGTTTCCAGAAAGAAAATACAAGGCACATAAAAAACAGTAGCAAAACCTAGAAATCTAAATTATTGAATTTCTTAATGCAATTCTGAATCCTAGAAGATTGCCTTCAAAATCAGAAGGAATATATGACCTGGATTTCTGTATGTAGAGAAGTGAAAAGGAAGATAACTTCGTGCATAGTTATCTCCCTTTTCTTTCTTAGGAAGCAAGAGGGCAAAGTCAAGGAAAGGGGACCCAGCAGGGAGATGGTCCTAAGCAGCAACTAGGACCAATTAGAGCAAAGGACTGAACAATCCAGAGGAACACAGGAAGTCCATAATCATTTGATTTATAAATCTCAAAAAAGTACTATTGACAGGCTCAGGAAAATGTGTTAGGATACTGGAAATATTAGTGGTATATACTTGAAATTAAGGAAATGGTTAACTTTAATAAAAACACTGCTCAGGGAGAAAATGGACACTATCCTTGGCTCCACAATGGATTTTGTATGTGTATTTTAGGAATATATAGCATGTAGGTATGAGCGTGTATAAGATATGTATATGTATTAAACACTAGATACCAACTGAACCTAATTGAAAAAAAATACGTTTTTATGTGGGTGGATGTTTTGCCTGCATTGTGTGTGCCTGGTGCCTGAGGAACCCAGAAGAAACTGCTCACATGTTGTTGTCTCTTACTAAATATGTTAAGAGTACAATCTTGTCTCTTAACTCTCCACATACTTTATGTAAAAATAAAGAATTTATAATCATTTGCATAGATAGTATACAAATGAGAGGGAAAACGGGTTTTAACTGTACCTTAAAATATCTTGGCTGAACCAAATTCTTTAGTTATTTTTCAGATTGCTAGATAGCTAAGCATACATCCTTAATATTTTCTGCTCTACTCTCCAATGGCAGCTGCCTCATTTTCTCCAGCAATAGCAGTTAAATGTACAATAGAGCAAAATAATTGTTGGTGACTTACATACTTATATACTAATTCAGTAAAATAAAAATAGCAGCACAAAACACTGACAGCAGGATGTTCTGGTTTCTTATGTGTGTCCTTACTTCAGAGAGGGGACGTATGACCTGGTTAACATAGATATTTGATTTTGTTCGTGCTGCATGGTACTAGAATCAAATTCAGTTCTTCTTCTTCTTTTTTTTTTTTTTCCCCCTGAAATGGAATTACATTGACAACTGAAAGAAAGTTGTAAAAGAGATGAATTGGTACATTTAGTTTCCTTCAGGGGAAAATAATCAGCTACTAGTCATTGTAGTTGGGGTCTTTAGAGAAAGTGGAATAAAGGAAAATACTCGTTGAAATGCTGAGAGGTTTTTATGTGTGTCCTCATGATCGTATTTAGAGAACTGATAGTTAACGGAAGGCTTTTCATTCTGGAGGATTGTCCTTTGATGGAGGAAAACCTCACCAGTTCTCTAAGTGTTAAACATGAGTCTCTGACTAACTGAGAATGTTCAAAGTTGGAAATGCTCCGTTCTCAGGTACCACACTAACCTCAGCTTTCCTCCCTAGTCTGACCTCTGGCTAGGTCAGTGCCTAAACTGTTTCCTCCTCTTGTGAAATCCTCTTGGTCCAATCAGGTGGTACCGTTTCCACCGTATTTATTTGGTTCCCTGCTGGCTGGGCATGCTCATTTTTTGACTTCTCATTAATTGCATTAAATGCTTCTTATTATGGCTGCTTTTTAAATGACTTACATGGGGATGGCATCCTTTCTGAATTTCTGCTTCTAGAGTCCTTAATACAAGCTGAGTGCTAAAGGGTTTGGTTCTGATGTAAATTCAAATCCACATTCTACGAAACAGTCCCCTCAACAGTGAACGATAACCCCAGCTTACTGGGTCTTTCCACCAGCCCCTTAACTGATTTTTGTTTTTCTTTCAGTCTTACCTCCAGTGTTAGTGCCTCGCCACAACGAATTCAATCCACAGCACAGCCTTCTGGTTCAGTTTAGGAACCTGAGCCACAATGAGCCGCACATGCCACACAACGCCACGTTTCCAGATTCTTTCCAGCAGCCCAACAGCACCCCTTTCCCCTTGTCTCCTAACAGCCCTTACCCCCCTTCCCCCGCTAGCAGCACGTATCCCAGCTCCCCAGCAAGCTCTGCACCAGGAAGCCCGTTTCAGCTCCCAGGTAAGACGTCACTGATATCTCGGAGAATGGGAATTGTTTTAAGTGCTGCTCTTCTGAGTGAGCTTGCTCTTGATGACATTTTCTTTAGGAATTTATTTCCACAAGAATTAGAACTTATTTTTCAAGTTCCATTATGTTTTAAAAAATCTGGAAATAGGGGAATTAAGTGTAAGTGTTTAATTTGCTGTTAGGAGTTGTCTCAAAAAATTTTGAATATTTCATCTTAGATTCTGTGCTGTGTGTAACTCTGTCTCAGAGTCCATATAAGCCTGGAGGCAAAAGACAACTTCTGTTCACTTTTAGATTTACTGAGACAAAAAGGTCTAGCTATAGCTTTTGCAAGACTTCACAACTCTTAAGTGCCAAAGATTTTGTTAACATTCAGTTTCCTAAGCTAATTATTCAATCATTTAATGGGGCATGATGGTTATTTAGGGGCATCGCCAAAGAATGAAATAATCATTGTTACTGTTACAGTGAACTTTGAAGGGACATAGTTTTAAATGACACTGCAGTATGTGATGAGGACGGTAATTAAAAATGTACTGTCCTGGGTGATCGTGGCCTCAGAGTACTGCGCAGGAGCTGCAGTTTCTTTGAACATAGTTTGCTTTAAGATAAAGGAAAAATCTTGACCTTGGGTTCCATTTTATTGTTGATCCTGGTATCCTGGATTACTGAGGGTCTAAGTAGGCTTGTAGTAGGTGTGCAGGAGATGTTGTATGTGCTGTCTTTTCTGCTCTTGCACAGTGTCCTACATCTGTGTATGCAGTGTTCAATAATGAACCCTGCTGATAATCTTGTAGATTTAAAAATGCTTTTAGAGTAATAGCTTTAAGCAGAATGAAGACCGTATTCTTTGAGGAATGAATATGTCTAATTCTCTTCCTCTTAGCTGACACACCTCCTCCTGCCTATATGCCTCCCGATGATCAGATGGGTCAAGATAATTCCCAGCCTATGGATACAAGCAATAATATGATTCCTCAGATCATGCCCAGCATATCCAGCAGAGGTGAGAAGAGTGCACATTGTTTTCTTTTGTTGGTGCTATTTTTATTTCTTTTAATTTCTTGGCCACTTATCTTTACTTTTTGCAGTGCTAGGAATCCAGTCCAGGGCTTTCTACTCTAGGTAAATCATCTCCCACTGAATTAATATCCCAGTCTTGATCACTTGCGCAAACACCTTGAATGGAGTAAAATGCTGTAAAATCAACGGAGTATGCAATTTAGTGTTTTTTGGCAAATATATGAAGTTTTGGTTCAAAATGTAGTTTAAAAACACTGCCATAACCTTTCCCAAGAGATTCTACCCCATCCTGGGCTCAACATACTTCTGTTCTCTGTACAGATATTTTCTGAATATTTCATAAAAATAGTCACGGGAACAATAAGATGGGTTAGTGGTAAGAGCACTTGCTGCTAAGCCCAATGATCAAGGCTGGTGACCTGAGTTTGTTTACTAGGAGCCACATGGTAGAAGAGAAACCCCTCCCAGATAAATATATAATATTTTTAAAAGATTTTTGTTTTATGTATATGCTTTGCCTGCATGTATGTGTACCACATGCACACCTGGTGCCTGCGGAGGCCAGAAGAGGGCATCAGCTGCCCTGGAACTGGAGTTACAGTTGTGAGCTACTGTGTGGGTGTTGATCTTTTACATTGTATTTTATTCACTGGACATGGTGTTGTCAAGGTCACCTGTGGTGTAGTGGTAACCAGCAGACATTTGAATTATTTGCGGTTTTGATTAGTGTTCTGAGTAGGTGCACTCTTAGGAGCATTGTGTACAGGTCTTTGTATATGGTAAGCTTAATGGTTTGAGAAAAATTGCCAGACTTTTCTTCAAAGTGGCTGTGCCAATATCTGTTGGCACTGTGTGAGGGTCCAGCTTCTCCATGCTTCCTAGTACTGTTACTGTCTAGCCTTTAAAGATATTACACGTCGTGGGTATGAATCACTCATTGTATTTATTTTTTACACCCTATTGAGTAATGATGTTAAACACTGAAGAATTTTTTCTTTAGTATTATTTATTTTAAATATTTTGCCCACTGGCTTTGGTATGTCTTTACTGGGGTATAGAGTTCTTTGTATGTCCTGGAAGTGAACCACCTCTACCCTTTTTTGTGGTGGAGTGATTTAACCCAAGTCACAGTGAGTGACTGTAGATTGATTGTTTGCATGAGGAAATCTTGTTCTAGATCAATTTTTCTCTATTTAATTGGCATTTTATTAAAAATAATTTTATTGTGAATTTGAGCTTTTGTTTAGAGATCTTAATTTTGTCAATTAGTCTTCATAACTGTACTTGGTAGTATTGATTACTAAATTTTGTAATAGAGCTTTTCCATCCAATTTTTTTTCTTAATCATGGCAAAATGCTTATAGCATAAACTTTACCATCTTACTGTTCTTATGTCTACAGTTCAGTGACATTAGTCACATTCTCATTATTGTTCCTTTGACATCATCTAGCACTATTTTACCTTGTGAAACTGAAATTCTGTACCCATTAAATAAATCCTTATACTCACTTAACCCCTCGCCCTTGGTAACCACCATTCTCTTGTCCTTCTTTATAATTTTGATTACCCTTAAGTACCTCATATAAATAGAGCCGTATGATACTTGCTTATTATGACTAGCTTATTTCACTTAGCATGATACCCTGGAGGCCTGTGTATGCTGTGTTTGTCAGAATTTCATTCCTTAGGTGAACAGTGCTTACTCCCTTGTGCGCACCACCATTGTTTGCCTGCTCTCCACAGGGAGTGTCTGTGCTGTTCCCCTTTTGCTCTGCTGTAAGCTGCAGCCAGCACCATTCAAGGCTGCTGCAGTAGGTGTGGTGTAGATGCTGGCTCTTGTTACGTTAGGCTGGTTGGTTACAGTACTCAAATTTTCTGTATCCTTGCCTATTTTCTTTCTAAAATTGAGAGTGAAAGAGTGAAGTCTCCAGACCTACCTGTTTCTACTTTCAGTTCCTTTGAGGGTTGCTTCATGTATTTGGGGATTCTTATCACAATGTACAATTCAGTAATACTAAATACAGTCAGCATTGTGCAGCCATTGTCAATGTTTGTTTCCAGAGCTTGTCATCCTCCTAAACAAACAAACTCTGTGCTCATTAGAAATCTCTCCATTTTCCTTTCTCTGGTCCCTGATCAATAACAGTCTACTTCCTGTCTGAATTTTCCTGTTCTGGGTGTCAAGTCTAGGCGGACTTCAAATCTCATTTCTTAGTAGGGCTGGATGACATCTATATATTTGTTCACTCATTGATCTATTTATAAATACTTGGTTTTTTTCTTTTTTGGCTGCTGCACAGCAGACTATTACTTGGGTCTCTGTACAGTCCATCTGTCTGAGTGCTGTATAGATTTGGGAGTAGAATTGCTGTGTTATGTGCTAATCCTGTTTAACTTTTGAGACTCCCCAACTCTGCACAGCAGCTGCATCACTGTGTTCCCAGTGGAGTTCTCCACGTCCTCGCCAGCATGCTTCCTGTTGTTTGTGTCACTGTCCTTGCTCTCCTCACCCTCATAATGGCTGTCCTAATGGCAGTGTGTATTACATAGCATGCTTTAATTGACAAATAAGAAAGAATGGGGTGGTTGGCTTTTGTTTGTTTGTTTTTCCCATGATGTTACCATTGTGGTAATGCCTTACATTGTTACAAGTGTTTTACAGATCATATACTGCCATTTTAGGTGCTAGGGAGAGCCACTGAGTAAAGTCTTGCTGTGCAAGTATAAGAATCTGAATTCAGATCCCAAGCATTCACATAAAAGCCAGGCTCATAACACCTTTAATCCCAGTGCTCCTACAGGGGAAAGGAAGCGGAGACAGAAGAATCCCAGGAAGTTTGAGAGCCAGCTAGTCTTCCAAATCAAGTAGCAAACAGTAAAGAGCCCCTGTCCCAAAAGGTGGAAGGCATGGATCAGTGCTTGAGATTGTCCCTGGCATTCACACATGCACTACAGCATGCCACAACATAAAGTAAAAAGATACTGTCATTTACACCTTTTTAAAAATCAGTGTGTGTGTTTTATGTTTGTGATAATAACCCACAGCTAACTCCATACCTAATGATGAAAACTAGATTTTCTGCTAAAATCAGTAACAGGGCAAGGCTGACACCTCTGCAGGTAGTCCTTGTTTGCTTAGACCTTCACTTAGTTCTTTAGTTCATCTTTTTGTTAGAATAATGTTACAGATACTTAGGTAGTTACGTATTTTTAATTGCTGGAAAAGAATTTCACTTGACTAATTTAAGTCTGTATTAGTTTATTGTAGACTTGTTTCAGAGGTGCTGTTGCTACATTTGGCATTGTAACTTCCCAAAATTATGTATGGAACCCCTAAGCCCCAGTATGTTCGTATTTGGAAATCTGGGCTTTTGGGGAGGTAAATGAGTCTAAATGAGGTCATTAGAATGGGGGGTCCTCCTGGTGAGGTGAGTACCCTTCTAGGGAGAGGCTTTTCCTTGTTCTCTCTCTGTCCTTGAACACAAACCAAGGAAAGGCTTTGGTAGCAAAAAGCAGGAAGATAGCTGTCTACAAACCAGGAAGTGGCCCCTCATTAAACATTGAAGCTACTGCCACCTTGATCCTGGACTCCTTGCTACCAGGACTGTAAGAAATAGGATTCTGTTGCTTCCATCACTCCATCAGTGGTGTTTCTTAGAAGTTGGTACTTAAAATGGGGTGCTGTTATACAGATGTCTAAAAATATGGGTGTGGTTTGGGAACCTATAGAGGCTGGAGAAAGGGCTAGTGAAGTGACTGATAAAAAGGTGGAAAGAATCCTTGTATCTCCTTAAGGAATACTAATTTTGTGTTTAGAATGTTGGTGGGAATATAGTGCTGAGGTTGATGCTTCTGCACTCTCAGACCTAAGTGAGGAACACTGGGAGATGGAGAAAAGGCCTGTCATGTAACAAAGTGCAAACTTGGTTGGATTGTGTTGATGTTCTAGTGTCTTGTAGAGGGTAGAACTTTAGAGATGCAAAATCAGTTGGCTGAAGAGATTCTTACGCAAAATATGACTGGTTTCTCCTGATTGCTAATAATAAAATATGAAAAAGGAACTGTTACTTAAAAAATAATTTAAGATTTAAGAGTTGTTTTTTTTTTTTAAATCTTGTACACATTGTAAATAAGAATGTGTGTTTGGAGAGAAACTAAGGATTTTGTTTACATTTGATAATGGTATTACTATGGGTATGAAGTATGGACCTGATTAATCCTCTCCATCAGGGACAGAGGTAATTTGACTTGAGAGGACAGAGATGGATCAGGGGTAAGGAAGACCTTTAGGCTTTTACAAGTCAGGACATTAAAGCTAGTTGGTTGTAAGGCAAAAGAGCTGGCCCTGAGGGTGATTGTTTCATCAGGGTGGATTGTGGGGGCCCACAGAGGTTTCCTAGTGAGATCTGAGTTAGCTTTACCCAGCAGGGCTGCTTAAGAGGGTGGCATATGTGTGGTTACCAGGTGTTTGGAAAGGTCTGCATTTGGCAGTATGGTGTGCTTTGAACTGCAAGGGGGGAGGTCTTTTACCTCTCCCCTTGGCATTGTTTAAAAAGCCCCTTTGAATAAACCTAGGTGGCTGGGTACAGACCCAGGGCCCTCTCAAAGCGATCCTGTGTTTCTGTCTCTCCCATCCTACTATCTTTTTATCTACAAATTCCTTAGGCCTCTCTCCTCCTCATAGAAACAATGTAGAAGATGGGAGCAGGCCTCCACAGTGGATGAACCAGTGGGTGAGGATGGTGAGGGTGGTTGGGAGTACACCTCTCCACGATGCATAACGTAATGCACAGTTCACCTATGCTGTGGCTGAAGAGGGACTTTCCCTTGAGGAATTTTCTCTAGCTTAGCTATGGACCTTCAGTTTTTGCTGACGTGAATTAAGTCTCTGGGTACTTGGGAGATAGGATTTATGTATTTCTTGCATGTGAGACAGGTGTGAAATAGTAATGGACTTAATTGTTAGTCCCTCCAATTTACAATGAAACCCTAACTCTCAGTATAATGCTGTTTAGAGATAGAGACAGTTAGATTTAAATAAATTCCAAAGATTAGGGTCTTCGAGATAGTTAACTTATCATTACACAATTTGACACAGAGCCCAGGGAGATAGCTCCATGAGTAAATGCATTTGCTTGGGCAAGCCTGGTGACTTGATTTCAGATCCCTGGAACACCGAACAAAGAGTTAGAGCATGTCTCTGTGATCTTGGCACTTCTCCAGTGAGAGAGGAAGTGGGTGATCTTATCGTTGATGAATTTCTAAATGGTCTTATTAAATAAAAAGCACGGAGCCAGAAATTTAGGTTAAAGCCTTGGAGAGATCAGGGAAATATGGAAAGCCACCAGCTAACTTCACCTCACCAATTCCACAGTTTTCAAGGAGAGCGACTTCCTGTCTACCCAGGATTATATGCCTTGCTTTTCTGGCCTCTCATTGGCTCTTAGCTCATCTACCTCATTTCTTCTTCCTACACAGCTCTGTCACTGTCTGTCTATCTGTACAGACCTCCAGGTCTCTGTGGTTGGTAAATATCTGGCCTTTTCCCCCTGATCTCCAGGCAAGCTTTATCAAAGCACAAATAAAATATCACCACATTTCAGCACAAATAAAATATCACCACAATACTGTGTGTGTGTGTGTGTGTGTGTGTGTGTGTGTGTGTGTGTGTGTGCGTGTGCGTGCATACACGTGCACACAAAACTTGCCTTCCACTTTGTTTTGAGACAGAGTCTCTCTTGTTTCTTCTTTGCCACATACTCTAAGCTGTGGTGATATTGGAAAAGGCCAGCCATTTTAAGTAAACAAGAAGTTCGGCAGCACATGCCCTTAATCCAATCACTTACCAGGCAGGGTCTCTGTGTGTTCAAGGCCACACTAGGGAACAGAGCCAAGTGTAGTGATACATGCTTTTAATCCCAGTACTAACCATAGAGACCTGGAGGTCTGTATAGACAGACAGTGACAAGGAAGTGAGGTAGTGGCCTAAGATAGCCAGTGAGAGGGCAGAATAGTAAGGTAATAAAGGCATGGGTAGACAGGAAGTGGCTAACATTTGGAAGTTGCAGAGCTGGTGAGGAAAGGTTGGCTGGTGGCTCTCCCTAAGGCTTTCACCCCTATATTTGGCTCCGTGTTTTTATTTAATAAGACCATTTAGAAATTCGTCTACATTTGGCGCCCAACATGGGGCAGGAATTCATAAAAAAGCCACTTGTGGGCCCCAGCTTTGCTGCAGCTGCAAGTGGCTGGAGTTACACACTGCCGGAGCTACACGCGGCCAGACTGCATGTGTGCTTACAGAGCCCCTGGCCCAGTTGCATGACTCAGGCCAGAACATGTGGCAGGAATCTCTTTGGCGTTCTCTTTCCTGGTGAGTGGTGGGCTCCCCTCTGTCTGTCTGTCTGTCTCACACGCTGTCTCTCTCTCTCTCTCTTGATCTCTTGATCTCTCTTGCTCTCTCTGGATTTCCATCTCGGACTGCCACCACACTAGGTAGCTACCCTGAGGTAAGGCCTTATGAATACACAGCAAGAGGGCAGCTCTGTTTATATACCAGGAAGTGAGTCTCCACTAGACAGCACATCTGCTGACACCTTGATATCTGAGCCTCCAGAACAAACTGTGAGAAATAATATGGTGGTTTTGTTATTGTTATTTTGTTTTGAATTTAAGCCATTCAGTCTGTGGTATTTTATAGCTGTCTGAGCAGGCCAAAATAAGTTGCCTTGGACTCTAAGGCATGAATGTCAGTGAAATTTAAATGAAGTATCTATTTTCTTTGTTACATAATGCTTGTTTAGGCTAAAGAATAAATACTCAAAGGGTCTGGTGGTTCAGATAGCAATTATTAAACTTCTTTTCTGTTTTCAGATGTTCAGCCTGTTGCCTATGAAGAGCCTAAACACTGGTGTTCAATTGTCTACTATGAACTGAACAACCGTGTTGGGGAAGCTTTTCATGCATCTTCTACTAGTGTGTTAGTAGATGGATTCACAGACCCTTCAAATAACAAAAGTAGATTCTGCTTGGGATTGTTGTCAAATGTTAATCGTAATTCAACTATTGAAAACACTAGGCGGCATATTGGAAAAGGTAATCTTGTCATTTATTTTCATTCGGTTGAATTAAGTCTTTTTTATTTTTTTGTACTGGCTGGGTATAATTCATTGCATAAGGTACTGGAAACATCCAAAAAATCTTGAGGCATGGCTTTTGCCTCAGGTTGCAGATACTAAAGATGCAATCAAAGACATGACAGTCCTGTCTTCTTTATCCTGCTTATCTTTTTTTTTTTTTTGGGGGGGTTTCGAGACAGGGGTTCTCTGTGTAGCTTTGTGCCTTTCCTGGAACTCGCTTTGTAGACCAGGTTGGCCTCAAACTCACAGAGATCCGCCTGTCTCTGCCTCCCGGTGCTGGGATTAAAGGCGTGCGCCACCACCGCCCAGCTTCCTGCTTATCTTTTGTTTCTAGTACTGAAGAACGTCTTGATGTCCTGTTGTCAGCTTCTGCAGTATTTACCCTAACAGTCAGGGTAAATTAAGTTAGGGCCTAACTGGAATAGAAGAGACATAGGAACTTACCTTGTTCACAACAGTGTCCTCAGTAGCTAGAACAATGCTTGGCTCATGACATATTAAAAAAATCTTTGCAGAATCTGTGCATGTTGGTGAAGGATTAGAAATGTGAAATGACTGCACTTGAAGTGTTTTCTCTTTTTTTCTAAGATGAGCACAGTGCTGGAGAAGTAGGCTGTGAGGTGGGAATGGAGGGAGGATGTCCAGAAACCTCACCCAGTGGAGTTCACATGCAGTCCGCCATGGAGTGTAGTTGCCAGTACAGTGTTGCACATCAGGAGGCCTCAGTAGAGTGCTTTGGGTGTCTCTGGAGCAGTTTTGCTTTTATAGCCCTACTGCTCTGTGCTTCTTTGAGGGTTAGTTAGAGATGGTAACAGTGGCAGATAATGATAATTGTGATAGGCTTTCTTACAGAAAAGATCCAAAAAAATAAGCTGAAGCCAGGTGAAATGGCTCACACCTGTAATCCCAGTACTTGGGAGGCTGAGGCAAGTAGGTCCCAAGATGAAGGCCATCATGGACTACATAGCAAGACTGTCTTTAAAAACAAAATAAAATAAAACAAAAAACCATACAAACCACCACCAACAACAACAACAAAACTGAACAGTTTGTATTGGTTTCATTGTCAACTTGTCCTGCCTGACCTTTTTTGTGAAATGTGTCTCTTGAATGTTGAACTTTCAGTCCTCTCCTACTCAGTGGAGACAATTTAAGAGGCATCTCTTTGGTCAATGCTAGGATCGATTTTTTTCTCTTACTTGCCAGTATTCCCATTCTGGAGTCTTTTGAGCCTGCTCCATTTCTGTTGACTCAGAAGCAGTGAGTTTTCAATACCATGTATTGACACAATTCTGGTCGTTATATTTGGGCAGAGATTTGCATCTATGGAGATCTTGCTAAAAGGCACCATGTATGGTCATGGACAGTAAAGGAAACTGGTCCATTGAGGGCAGTCAGCATTCTCTCTTGTCATCTAAAATATGGCAGTTGGCAGCACGCTATCTTATGAGTGAGGCAAGAGTGTGTGCTTCTGAACAACAGACTGTGACACTAATTTCATTTAAAAATAAAGCAAAGCCTCCACAGAAGCACACAAACATACTGTATAGGAACATACTTGTAACTTAATCTGTGCTGCATGTGACAAGTTTAAAAGGATATACACCAAATTCAGAGTAGTGTCGACTTATGGGGAAGAAAAATTTGAGGTAATTCTTAGATGTATTGGAGAAGTATTTGGTGAGATGGCTTTTTAGCAATATAGCTTCAGTTTTACTATTAGAACTGCTTTCTCACAGGATATTTGTAGAAAACTTTAAAAAGTTGTGCTGGGTGGTGGTGGCATGCACCTTTCATCTCAGCACCCAGGAGGCAGAGGCAGGCAGAGCTCTGTGAGTTCGAGGCCAGCCTGGTCTACAGAGCGAGATCCAGGACAGTCACCAAGACTACACAGAGAAACCCTGTCTTGGGAAAAAAAAAAAACAAAAAACCCAAAAAACAAAACAAGTTGTATTTTATTATTTTGTGCGTATTTTACCTATCTATGCATGACACTCATACAGTGCCTTCAGAGGCCAGAAGGGGACCTCTTGGGACTGGAGTTAGATGGTTGTGAGCCTCTGTGGGTGCTGGAAATCCAACGTGGGTCCTCTGCAAGAGCAGCCAGTGCTCTTAACTGCTGAGCCATTGCTCCAGTTCCATGGAGGGAAGTGGGGGGGGGGAGGGGCGGGGAGAGAGAGAAGAAGAAAGAAATGGCTTTTTAAAGGAAAGTAAAATGAGTCTGCCGTTTTGAGTTCTTTCTGTAATTTGAAGTCACATGTGTACATTTGGATTTCTGAGTGATGGTTGAAATGCTGAGGTCCTCTTTGTTAGCCAACAGTGGGAAACTTCACTAACTAACTTTAATGCTGATGGATAGCACCAGGCATTTCTTTGAAAGTACTCATACAGTGAATCTTTAAAGAGCATCCTTTCTTTGGTAGAGAAACAAATGATGGTTGGAGGGCAAACACGAAGCTTGGGAGCAGACATTTTAATCACCCTGCCATTTGCAGCCCCGAGGATCCTTAGAGTTAGGCTGATTATTTTTGGCCACTGAAGGCCATCTAGTGGTGGTTGTTGGCGTTTGCTGTGTTTCTGGGTGCTGTGGCTGTGCCACACACATCTGTGGCTCTTCACAGTGCTTGTTAAGCCTTTCTTTCTCCCATTGCCTCTCTTTAGGTGTCCATTTGTACTATGTTGGTGGGGAGGTGTACGCCGAGTGCCTTAGTGACAGCAGCATCTTCGTTCAGAGCAGGAACTGCAACTTTCACCATGGCTTCCACCCCACCACTGTCTGTAAGATTCCCAGCAGCTGCAGCCTCAAGATTTTTAACAATCAGGAGTTTGCTCAACTTTTGGCTCAGTCTGTCAACCATGGGTTTGAGGCCGTGTATGAGCTCACCAAGATGTGCACCATTCGAATGAGTTTTGTCAAGGTGAGTGGTTTGATCTCTAACATGACTCTCGTCATTATAAATATGTATGCATCTAAAAAAATTATTAGATGAAGATAATCATTGCACTTTGGACCCAGTTTGATACATTTTAAGTGAAATCTTAAATTTAACATTTTAACCATATGACAGGTTATTTAATTTTATAGTCTACACATAAAATCCTTGACAATTTTGATACTAGGTGAGGATTGGGTTTATAAAATATTTCAGTTAGGAGACTAAATTATTGGAAAGCATGTAATACTAAAATTGCATTTTGAGTGCCTCAGATTCCATTCCATTACTCAGGAGATTAATAGTATTAAATTACTATGTTTCAGCTCTGCTGCAAAGGATTTATAAAGCCTGTCATTTATTTTTTGTTAGTTTGTTTTGTTTTTGTTTTTTTTCCAGACAAGGTTTCTCTGTATAGCCCTAGCTGTCATGGAACTCACTCTGGCCTCAAACTCAGAGATCTGCCTGCCTCTGCCTCCTGAGTGCTGTAATTAAAGGTATGCGCCTCCACCACCCGGCAAGAATGACACTATCATTACTTTTTCGGCCTGCTATTATTGAACATTCCAAAGATTGTGTCTCATTAACAGAATGTTGAGAACACATAGTGGTAGATTTCAGGAGTCAGCACTGCGCCCTCCTGGTCCTGTAGGTTTAGTTCAAGAAGAGCAGCAGCACATGCTGTGTGCGATTCTGTTTGCTCGCTTATTTATTTTTGTGATTTATTTTTTGGCATTTAATCTTAGCCCACTGTTTCCTTGCTGCTCATCAGTCATCTGAATTGACTTTCTCTTTCCACTTGAAACGTGACTTTTGTCTGTTTTATTCTCCAGTTCCTTTGTCTGCCCCGTTTCTCTTCTCCCCCTAGTTTCCCTGGAGTAAGGACGACTATAATCAGAAAGACAGAACTTGATAAGTCAGGAAAAGAAAAGTAAATATGTATTTCAGTTTTTATCTGGAACTTATCTTACTAATTTCTTACCTTTAAGGATAATGGCTTAATGTGATTACTACAGTAAATAAAAAACAAACAACAACAAAAGTCCCCAAAGCCCTTAAAACTTTCTTTGTAAGCGATCATAGTCTGTGGCCTTTGAAAATTTCAAAACATTGTGAAATATATATTTGGCACCATGGGTCTGTATCACAAATTCTGTTATTTATTAAAAGTTTATAGCTTTGAGTAATGCAACTATTTTCTTTTAATATTGTGGTAAATGCTGATTGGTTTTCTGTAGTTGTTCAGTTCAGTGTGCTTTTTGTGTTTTTACAGTTAAGCTTTTTATTGTTAGAGTTGGTGTAGACTGTTGACTGTTCAACAAGAGGGATTTCCTTTGTTGTCTGTTCCTTTTCAGGGCTGGGGAGCAGAGTACCATCGTCAGGATGTTACTAGTACTCCATGCTGGATTGAGATTCACCTCCATGGGCCTCTTCAGTGGCTGGATAAAGTCCTTACTCAGATGGGCTCTCCTCTGAACCCCATTTCTTCTGTTTCATAGTGCAGAAGTATTCTTTTCAACCATATTTTTAGTGGACTTGTTTTAATTTTAGAGGAATTTCCAGTACAGATACTGTGAGCTGACATGGAAAAACAGATATTATGGCTTATTTTTTCTACATAATTGTGACCAACACATTTGTATCTTGTGATGAATTTACATTTGTTTGTATTCATGTTCATTGTGATTAACTTTCAAAAGTATTGTAAACAATGTGTAGAGTATTTTGCCCCCATTGAGAAGTTTGGCATTGATCTGAAACTGGAACAGGCTTTTGTTTATTGTCCCAACAGTTTTTTAATTTGTTAATTTTTTACAGAGTAGTGCCTCACATAATGAAGATTTATCCTGTAAGAGGGCATATAACGTGAAAAGTGCTAGACGATACGTTTAGTAATTTCTTTGTCCTACCACCTTGAAAAGCATAGTACATTGTTTTGCAAAGACATATGGGGTAGGGGCGTAAAGGAAACCATTGAATCTCGTATTTGAAGGACACTGTGCACCCCTGATGTGGTGTTCAGTGAGAGCAAGGTGGTGGATTTCTAGGTGTCATACATTGACATTTAGTGGAACAAGTGTTCGTCAGTGTAATGTGACTTTGTGCTATATATCATTTGTAAAACATTTCCTTTTTAAAAATCTCTATTAGATGTCATATACTCAATTTGTCATAAGTTTTACTTAACAGTTACAGTGTGTGCACGGCCTTATTCAGCTGTGTTTGCTGCTTTGGGCCAATGCTTCAAGAACTCTAATTCTAATGTGCATTAATCTTTTCATTTTGCACTTTTATGGGTGACAGTTTTTAGTGTAATCTCTGGTAAAACACAGTCAGGTGACCTGGTCTTAGATCTTCTCTTTACTTCCTTGGCACGCCTTTGTATCAACACTGCCATTTAGAGATTACAGTTGTAGGACATGATGCATTTTTCTAGCTTTTTATTTTCAATCTATAGAGTTGTTATTCTATAGCTCTAACTAAGCCTGTTAATTCCCTACAACTTTATGGGTGTTTTTAATGTTGAAAGCTCATGTACTTAATACCATTGCTCCTGTACCTGACTTCTCATACAAGGACCTATGCAATGTTACCGTCAGAGGCTCTGTGGTTGGGCTCCGAGGATGAGGCTGCTGGTGTGCTGGTAAATGAACCATCAGTGGGCTTGGGATAGCTCATTTCAACGTCATGTAACAGAGAACATAGACTGGTCTCTCCGTGTCAGTGCTCTGCTTTTTCCTTTTATCCTTTTAGACCTACATTGATGCTAGTCTCCAGAACACCCTTTTCTAAGGCAAAGGATGTGAATGCTCTAAGACACCCATTTAGTTCACTGTGCCTTTGGACTTGTAACCACTTTCTAGGGAGCAGTCATGGACAGTTACGGCCTGAGAATGAAGACACTACTTTGATAAAGAAAAAAATGACCTAACTTTCCTGTCAATACGAGAAGCTTGATTTTTCTGGTGCCACTTTATTCTGCTGCTGAAAATGTTATTTTGGTTTGACGTTTTACAGTGCCCTTCCTGCCTTTATGAGGAAAACAGAGCTTTTTGGGGGGAGGGGGTATGATTCTTTTTGTTTTCTGTGTCATTATTTATTGCCTTTTAGATAGCCATTTGGGTGGCTTTACTCCTTCAGAGGAACTGCTTTGCTGGGCCTTCAGGAGCTTGAGCCTTCACCATAAGTATTCCATAGCATAATTTTTAGACTTGCAGAGTGTACCAGCCACATGAAAGAGACTGTTCTGTACTTCGTAATTAATTGTTCTTTTATTTAGCAGGCTCAGGACACAGTCTTGAAGAGCAAATTTGTAGGAAAGCGTCTGGAGTTGCATGATCAGTACACACCAGTGAGCTCTGTTGAAGTTTCAGAAACAAGTGCCATGCTTGCTCCTTTTTCAACAGTGGGTTAGATGTGTTTTTCCACAGTCATCATGTCCCAGCCCTCTCTCCGGGGTACAGGGTTCTGTGTGACTGACCTTCTGTGGATGGCAGGACTGAAGCTCCTATCTGCTTAGAGTTTCATGGAGAAGTCCAGCCTGTTTCTTCAAAGTTGTCAATATCCCATCTGTGGTCTGTAAATGAACAGTGCAGTCTAGCTGCTCCTGTAATGTCTGAGGATATACTGTGTCTATGGGGAGGAAAAAGTGCTTGTAAGGTGAAAGCAAACCAATGCAGGACTCTGGCCTGCAGAAAGCAGTACTTCTAAAGAGGCCATTTCAGAAAAGGGTGGTTCTGACTTTGTTGTATTGTGTAAAGAATGGTTGCCACCAGACCCAAAACAGCAGCGCTGGTACAGACTTGATGACTGTGATGAGTAGCATGTAGTCCAGGCTGGCATTGAACATGCTAAGTTGCTGAGGGTGGCCTTGAGCTCCTGATCCTTCTGTCTCTACCTCCCAAGTGCTAGGATGACAGGCATCCACCATCATACCCAGTTTCTGTGGTGTTGAGGATCAGACTCAGGACTTCATGCTGCTAGGTGAGTGCTGTACCAACTGAGTGACAACCCTAGTTCAGGGATCACATTTTTAGCATGCAAAATACATTAACGTATGCCAGATAAAAAGATAGATTTGCAAACATTGAAAATTGCCATCAGTTTGTCGAATTCTGCAAATGGCAGAATCAAGATCTCAGTCATGGATTTAGCAGCAAGATGCCGACTAGAAAAAAAGCAGGACCTGAGAGGTCTATGTGACTAGTTATCTGCAGGATATCATGGTGGCCTGGGTGTTGTTAATAAACTAAATTTATGACCTGTAAACTAGTAGGGGTGCAATTGGCCTTCCAGAATCACTACTTTGCTTCAGAAAAAATTGTAACAAGAAAACAGTTTTAAAACAGCAAACAAATAGGACAGAATATGAATCTTTTTTTTCTTGAATGTTTCATGGTTGCTGGTATATGAAAAGTGGTCGTAGAAGGAGCTGGGTTGCTAAGGTAAGATCAGTATTAAGATTGCCAGATAAAACATTTCAACTAGCTACACTAATAATGCAGATAGGAAATGTGCTATTGTTTATAGGGTTTGAAAGTTAGACACCCTTGGGGGGTGAAAATGACAGTGACATTACAATACAAAGTGTACTGTCAGAGTAAAGACTGCAGTTTACCTTGCTCAGCCTCCCTGCTGCCTGAGGACCTGTGGAAACATTTCCTTCCCTTGCCAGTAGTGCCCTTGGGAGAAGAGAGTTACAAAACAGTGAAACTTACTGATGCAGGGAACCCCAGTCAGGGTGTGGTTTGTGCTTGGGCTGCAGAGCATGGAGGTGGCTCGGGTCCCTGTCTTCACACCGTTCCCAGTCATTTCCCTGGGAGTTCTTGGAGCGCTTTCCATTCTCACTTAAGTCCTGTCTCTGTTTGCTTCCTGAAGACGAAAGACTCTTTTATTTCTTTGGGTTTTTGTTGTTTGAGACACAGTCTCTCTGTATAGCCCTGGCTAACCTGGAAATTACTGTGTAGGCTAGCCTCAAACTTGAAGTAATTCTCCTGCTTCTGCCCCTGAAGTTCTGGGATTACAGGCATGTGCCCTGGGTACAGTGACCTCTGATAGTTTTTAAAGTTCAGCCCCTGGTGATGGTGCGCATTTAGACCTATTATCTTTGAAATGCTCCAAACCCCCTTCTTTGTCTTACCAAGTAAATCCTCTGCTTTCTTGGGTCTCAGTAAAAGTGTGTGTTCCCAGTATACACACAGCTAAATAAGCAGGCAGCTTTTCATGTAGACAACCTGTGGTTTTAGATGCATTTCATGATTTTAGGGGAGGGAGTTTTCCTAAGCGGTGCTTTATAGGTGATGGTAACAAGGGTGACCTTTTGAAGGTAATTCACTTAAGGAGCTGTTTCCCTCACGGCAGTAGGGTTTTCACCTTTGGAGGGTGCCAGTTCTTAGGAGGGTTTCTTGTTTAATAACATGCATGTATAGGAAGGGAACATTGAAGGCATCTGTTCTACACTAACAGTTTTCTGTCTGCTGGACAGACACTTGGACAGTTCTGGGGACTGTTGTCTGAAAGGGTAGCAGTATTTGACAGTACCCGTCATTAGGCCGGAGTTACTGGGTCACCCAGGAGAGAAGCTAGCTCACTTCCTGGTTAGGGCTGGCCTCAGTGGCAGAGCACTTTCCTAGCAGGCAGAAAACCCCGTATTCAGTCCCCAGCACTGCACAAAACCAAACCAAACAGCTCTCAGAATTCATCTGTACTGTCAGTGAAGTGACCACGACAACTGGATGGTATGCCAGAACCGAGGAAAGGAAGTTCATAGTGATCACTTGAACAAGTGAGAATACATGTTACAACATTTAGCTGGTGACAGTTGCTGTTCAGTGATCACCTCTTACCTTGCAAAGATCCAGTTAGAGCAGACTTTGTCCTCGAAGAGAGAGGAAGACCTTGTCCAGATAACAGTTATCATTTAATGTTTGTGTGAAGTTGCTCTTTTTAAAAAGCTCTGAATTCTGTGTACAGACAGGACAGCTGCCTGCTCCCTGCCCCGCTGTCATGCCTTTGTTACTGTGAGCTCGTGTTAGCCTTACCAACACTCCAGGTAGGCCAAAGAGTCAGTCCCAGGTTCTCGGAAGAGTCCGCTGTGCTCTTCTGATACCATTGGCAGTGCCACTGCTTTGGCATTCTCGTAAAGCAGCTGTGGTATAGGGAATCTCAAGCATGACTGTTGGGCAGTGGCACTCTTTAACGTGTCAAGTTGCAATTGTAAGTTTACTTATTTAAATGTGGGTAAGAATATAATCATGGAGAATGAATAGCTTGTATGCGCCTGTCTGCCTTCTGCAAGGAAGAGATCTCACGTGGATGGTGAAGAGCAAGCTGATGGCTGTACTGTGGTCTGCTTATGTGTATTGGTCCTGCTTCTATTCATGGTGTAGAAAAGGAAACTAGCAGCGTGCTTCAACTGCTACTTTTTGATACTTACAAAAAGGTATTAGGTTTTACTATATTGTGCTTCTCAAAGCCATAACTCTTAAGAAATTTGTTTTTGCATATTGTTTGCTAATACTTTATTTTAATAAACCTTAAAATTTGTGTGTGGTGTCTGCTTTTGTTTATTTTCTGGTACTTTGCCCTGATTCATGATTCATACAGTGGTGATGTAGGAGGGTGGGATTTTCATTGATGCAGAGTCCTCAGTGCTGTTGACAGGACCTGCACAGGTCACATGTGTGCATTCCCTCCCACCATTGAGCCGTGCTCAGAAAGGTAGTTTTGTCCACTCCGTTTGTGTGGGAGTTGCTGTCTTTCTTTTTTGTGTTTTATTTTGAAGAAAGATTGAGGCCTATTCTGAAGTGTTTTAATCACTGTTTTTCTAGATCTTTCTTCTAGATGAGGGGGCTTGCTTAGCAAAGCTGGCTATAGAGTGTACCTGGCTGTACTTGAGTCCTGGGCCTTATGGCTCTGCTCTTCAGCAGGATGCTTAACCACTTTGTGCCTCAGATTCTGATTCTATAAAATAAAGGTCTGTGTCATAGAAAAACTAAATGAAGCAATACAAATAAAAAAGCATTTAGACTACTGCTTGGGATAAAATCATTAAAATTATCTTTTAAGTTTTGTTACTTTGATATAAAGCAAATATTTCTAATACTGTTTGACCTTCACCTTGGTTGATAAACTGCTGGTCAATGATCTACTTAGTGAACTAGCTAAGCTTAAAAAAAAAATCTTTTAAAAGTTATTGTGTGTATATGTGTTTATGAGCTGTCATGTCATGGTGTGCTAGTCGAGGTCAGAGAACAACTAGGGATTCTCTTCTATCACATGGATCCCAGGGATCAAATTCAAGTCCTCAGGCTTGGCACACATGCTCTACCCTCTGGCCCAGCTCGAGCTTCCTTGTCTTTAATTTTTCTCCTTTTCTTTCTGGTAACTGGAGGCAGACTAGCTTCTGTGAGCTCCCTCTGGTGTGCACCTGTCCTGCCAGGCACCATGGCCAGAAGGAGAAAACTCCAGACTTGGGGTGAAATTCTTCACCCCAAGAGAATACATTTAAAGAATGCAGCATTCTTTTCTTTAGAGAAAATACTTTCATAAAGGAGTTTCTATAAACCAGTCCTTAGTGCTTTATTTTATTTATTTTGTTTAGTGAGGGGTTTGTGGCAGCCTCTGGCTGTTTTGGAAGCACAGTGCACTGTGACACTGGTTTCTTTAAGCCTAACATGGCTAGCTTTCAGGTTGCTAGGACCCAAACAGTGGAGATGATACAGTGACAGGAACCACCAGTCCAGGAGACGGTGGTGTCCGTGATGTCATTGACATGCTGGCAGTTCTTTAAAACTGTGTATGAATATATGCTGGAAAGATGATTTTTCAAAGTGTCCTCTAGTTTTTGTAGAATCTGTGATTGTGATTTTTTTTTTCATTTTCTTTCAGCCTAGTCTTTTCTGTTTTGCTGGCTAAAAGATTAAAGGAGTGGGGCAGTAGGAAATCTTGAAGACAAGCTGTAGGCATCTTGATCTCCCCCAGACTTAAAGGTATTTAGATGGGAGAAGATGGGAGGATTTGGGCCAATGTTTAGGACTCTTAGTCTCCATGTTGTATTGAGAGGGAAGTATGTGTGTCTCCTGGTAGAGTAATGTCTTGAAGCAGTTTATTCATGTTTGGAGATGGATTTTGTCTGTTTATTTTTTGTTTGAGCCAGAGTCACCAAGGGTGACCCTGAGTTCCACACCTCTTGCCTCTGGTTTCTGAGTACTGGGACTATAGACATGGCCCACCAGGCAGTGTCCATCCAACTCAGGACCTTGTGCATGTTAGGCAGACGCTGCCTCAGCTGAACTATACCTCCCGCAGATTGATTTTGAAAAGTTCCTTTTACTTTGTCTTAATCTCTCAACTCTTCTTTATTCAGTAAACTTTACTCATCTTATTTTATGTTTTTGTTTTTTGTTTTTTTTTAACCCAAGGTAAATTCAGAGAATTTTGACAGCAAAGAAGAGCACACACAAAAACTCCCAAACTAGTAGCAAACCACTAGACATTTAGGCATGCACCCTTCTTATCTGTTCAGGTAGTCACTCAATATTGGTCCTCTGCTTCCTTTAACAAATTTATAGCTAATCGCTGGTGACACTCTGGGGGTGGGGGGGGGGAGGTCCACGGGTATGCGGGTGACCACTCTCCTGTGCGAGCTTCAGGTTGCTCTTGGCTCTTTTCCTTTGTTACTGTCTTATTGTTGGAGACAGGATCTCTTACTAAATCTGGACCTCACCACTTGACTAGACTGGCTGGGCGGCAAGCTCTGGGATCCATCAGTCTGCCCGTCAGTGCTGGGTCCCCACACATGCTGGCTCTCTGTGGGTGCTTGGGATCTGAACTTAGTCCCTCTCACTTCACAGCACTTGACTCACTGTTCCGCCTTCCCGGCCCCAGGTTATGAGTGGTGCCCTCTGCCTTCCTTCTCAAGTGGGTTCTCGGAGAAACTGGTGTGATGCCAATTTTTAATTAATTTATTTTTAATTAATTTATTTTTGAAATTACAATATAATTTTATCATTTACCCCGTCTTCTCCCTCCAAGTTGTCCTACAACCTCTCCTCTGCTTTCCTTCAAACAGTGGCCTCTTCCCTCATTAATTGTTACTACATGCTTATATGCACATGCACATACATATGTACTCCCAAACACAACCTGCTCAGCCTGTACAATGCCGCCTGCATGCCTGCCTTCAGGGCTGGCCACTTGGCACTGGACAACTAACTGGTGTGCTTCTCCCCAGTAAGACCCCTCTCCCACTCTCAGGATTGCCCAGCTGCCTAGTGTAGGGCTGAGGCATCGTGGTCTTTGATCCACCCACTTTGGCATGTCTGTTATTCTCGTTCAGCACATGTTTAGGCTGTCATTTGGGGGAGACTTTTTAGTATAGCAATTGGTGCAGCAACTGACAGTCAGCATGGAGAATTTTCAAGTGAAAGGGAAATCTGCCATATGACCCAGCTGTTTACTACTCCTTGGCATGTGCCCCAAAGACTCAACAGATACTTGCTCAGCCATGTTCATTGCTACTCTTTGTGAGAGCTAGGAAATGGAAATAACCTAGATGACCCTCAGGTGAGACTGGATAATGAAAATGTGATACAGACACTATGGAGTCCTGTTCCGCTGTGAAGAAAAGGGAATCACGAGCTTTCCAGGTAGATAGAAGTAGAAAAGATCATATTGGGTGAGGTAAACCAGGACCCAGAAAAAGAACCTTTCAATTTCTTTCTTCTTGGAGGCTCCTAGGGGCAAATCTTCAGGTGGGATATATCCTGGAGTAACTGCAGAAACCAGGAAGTAAAAGGGGACCATTGCCAGAGTTGAGGGAGCAATAAGTGATCTGGTTGCGAAGGGGGAGATGAATGTAGAGGGAAAGAGGTAAAATAACAGTAAAGATGTCTGAAAAAATTATAAGGAATCGTACTGTTAACTACCTTAGAAAACCTATAATACATGTAAGTCTAGGTATAAATATAGAATTTCAATGAAAATTTCTCATCTGGTCTGACAGTGTTCCCGACAGGAGCCAAAGACCATCAGCTGACAACCCCCAACACCAGGCATAGGAAGGCCTTTTTAGAGTTGATGGCAGGGTTATCCAAGAGACTCCAGACACTACAGGCTGGTGCTAGTACCCACTTTGCTGTGTCATCACTTGTGAAGACAGACCTGCATCACCTGCTGGAGCACTTCCCAAGTGTTGAAGTCTGCTGTATGACATGTTGACAGAACTGAAGCCAGGTGTGATTTTAATACCAGAGTTCACCTTTTAAGTAACGTAATAAGATCATGTTTAGTTGATTCTAGCTCAGCATCGTTAGAGCTCATCACCATATCTCAATTGGAAATTCAGGTAAGAAATCTTAACTATTCTTTCTCTCTTAACTCTTGGGCCTTTGCCCTGAGTAATCAGGTGCTGTAACTTGCTTTCACCTCTTGGCATTTGTGTTCTCTCAGAGAAAGTCAAAAGGCCAAGAGGAGACCAGAAGAGATGTGAACTCTTATTTTAGAGCTGAGAGGTGAATGTGCTCTGATCTTTGTGCTCTGCCTTAGGCCAGGCAGGCTTTTCCCAAGGTTTCATGTAGGAAAGGCCTTTCATTACATCCAGGTGGGCACTGCAGAGAATGCTCAGAGCTAGAGTAGTTTTGGTGGGTGTTATGTGGGTGATAAAGGCCCAGAGGACTTGGACAGCTTTGTGTAACTTACAATTGTGTCAACATTAATTCCGAAGAGTAATTAACAGCAAACATTGCACAATTAATCTCACACTTCTGCGAAATGTGGATTTTCATTAACTTAGAATGGGTTAGGCCAGCTGAGCGATGCCAGCAAATATGGAGAGATGCAAACATGGATGCCGTGAGCTCAGCTGCAGGGTGCTGCAGAGAAACGGTCCTGCGTGGTCTGCTTAACACCCTGCAGGCTTTCACCTCCCTCCCTTTATACACCTATGTTCCCTTTGCCCAGCCTGTGTATTTCTGACCTTGAGCAATATAATGCACCTAATATTTGAGTACTGTTATGTGTCATGTGGATATACAGATAAATATGCAGATAATTTTTCCTTGTACATCCTCATTCTCGATGGAGACACCAGACAAGATAAACAAAATGTATGTTTACTGGTAAGTTCTAAGGAGACAATGCTGGGGAAGGAGGATGAGCAGGAAGGAGTTACAACTGTGGCTGTAGTAGCCAGGAAAGAGCTTCCATGAAAAGCTAATTTTGGGTTAAAATTCAGGAAAAAGTGAGGAAGTCGGTATGTGACATAGATTGAACATTTTTGTTCCAGGCAGTTGAGAAGGCATGGGAGCAACATTGCTAAGATCTGTTCTTTCCTGCAGGAAGTGGAGTGTTGGGAGCAAAAATAGGACGACATGTACTAACATAAATGCCGTGCTCAGTCTCCACAGGAGATAATAATAACAACTCAAGTGTTACATACACAGGAGATAATAATAATAACTCAGGTGTTACATACAAGGAGACAGGAAATGCTAGTTGCTAACACTAGATTACCACCTTGGGAAACAGGCTGCTTGAAAGATCAGTTGGTAGGGGAGAGTTCAACTCTATTTTGTCAGTTACAGGTTTAGTTTCAGGTGAAAAATCAAAGATAAATGCGTAAGTAAAACTCAGCTATTTCTCCAATGTAATTAAATGCCTACTGAGTGCCTGTTTTGTATCTTTAAAAATGCTAGGCATCTGGAAAAAATGGTGAGCAAGACAGATGTCTTGATCGCAGATGACTGCATGCAATTGTGGGGAAGAAACAGGCTAATTATAGTCATGTCATAACTCTCATTAGGGACATAAGAGAGGAGAAAACACTTGAGTCTGGAATTGAGGTCAGAATACACCGAGTTGGAAATGACCACTTCCAGAGTGTAGAATGAGGTAATGAGCCCAAAGGGAGACAGTGGGGAATGGGCAGTGCTGTGCTCTCATAAATGTAGTTTGTTCTGTTCAGCTGAGTTAATATCCTTGGAAGTCATCTTCCCGATGACTGGGTTAGCCGAGAATAGAACTGATCAGCCCAGGCAGCTCAGGCATGTCCTTTTTGACAAAGATTGAAAATCAGAAGGATTAGAAGACATTAGCCAGAGGGACGAGGAGGCAGCATAATGCAGAAGGTTCCTAGGGACTAAAGGGTTTCAAGTTGAAGAGGATATGAGGGAGGGAGGCTGGTTGTGGGCCAGAAGGTTTTAGGCCTTGTGGGCCAAGTTGTTTTTAATCCAGAGAGAAAGGAGAAGCCATTAGAGTGTGAGCGGGACTGGAAGCAGATGTTGCCATCAGATACATGTGCTTGGAGGCGGAAGAAAGGGGTTGTCGTGCTCTAGGTTGAGTGGCAGTAGTGGAGGTGAGGGATCTGATGGGGTAGGGTAGAAGGGCGTTGAGCAGGTAACATGAGCATATGAGCAAACGAAATGACCATCCTCTTTTTTAATTAACCTTGGGCAGTCATGTGCTGATGCAGTTAACATTGAGATTGAGAATACTGAAGACCCTTTAAATTGAGATAGAAAGGTGATGGGTCTTAGACTCAAATTCTCCTGTAAGATGCCCAGCTGGGGCACAAAGCAGCTCAGCTGTGGTGGAGAGGGCCCTCTGAGGAGCACCGGAAACCATGAGAATAGATGAGGTCCAGCTGCCTCTGACTTAGGCAGACATGCTGGAAGTGCAGACCTCTAGCTCCCTTGTGCTATGTGGATGAGAAGACTGCAAGTCTCTTGTGGGAAGCAGTTTGTTTGTCCTGCGGCAAGCACTTCTGGAGCCAGCATCCCTACTAACCACAACAATAGCTCGTATTCAAGCACTTCCGACATATCCAACATAAGCTGAGCACTTGACCTGAAATGTCTGTTGAAAGTCCCACAAGGTAGGTACTCTCTGCATTTTACAGCCGAGGAAACAGGCTTCAGAGACTCTCGGATGTGATTTGGGTATAGAGTGTGTGATCAAACTCAGCTCGCCATCTAGCTCCAGAACTCAGGCTCTTGGTCCCCATTGTTGTCTCTCCCTGGTTCCCATTCTCTCCAGCCCCCATGTTCCCTCCCTCCTCACCCTGTCAGAATGTCTTTTTGCTAATGCTTCTGCTTCCAGGGGCTGTTTGAGCAGGAGGGCATAAACACCCATGACAGGGTCACTTCCAGTTTTTAACCCGCCACACCCAGGCCTCTTAAATTATTTCCATTACAGTTTGGGATTAGGATAGCAAAGGAAGAAAGGTGTATGTGTTTGTTTCTAGCTGCCGGAACAAAATGCCATATTTGATAGATTAAACAAGAATTTATTTTCCCATAGTTCTGGAAGCTAGAAGTCCAGTTTCAAGGCTCTGGTTAAGTCGGTTTCTCATGAGGGTTTGTAGATGGCCAGCATCTCTGTATGTGCTCACATAGCCTCAGCTACAGAGAACGAGATATGGATGAGGGCTTCATCCATGTCTTCATGAAGCTCCAGTTCCCTGTAAATGCAGCCATTCTGGGAATCAGGACCTCAACATAATGAATTTGGGGAGAACATACATATCACTCAGTATACAATACTAAATTGTAGTCATCACATTATAGACCACTTGCTTGCATATTAGCAGAGAACAGATGGGAACTCGGCTACATCCTGCTGCTCCTGGAGAATCCCAGTCCAACATAAGGAAGAAACATTACTGCTCAGCTAGCCCACCACTACCTTAGGGAATGGAATGGAGTTATTCAGAATAGCAGTGCTGGCACATGACGCTCTTTCCGACTCAGCTTGCTTTCTAGATTCCAGCTCCACGTAGGCCCAATGATCTGAGAATGTATTCCAGGAGCATCTATTGCAAGTAGCCACTGCAATGTTCTGGAGTCAGAGATGTGTCACCATGCTCAATATTTTATGAAGGGATCCCAATGGTACTGGATCACTGTGGCTATAGCTGATAGTGGTCCAGGAACCACAGGTAACTAACTTTGTAGCCTGTTACTCAGGCATGCTCTTCTGAGGGGGCCAGCCATTGCTCTTTCTTGTGGCCACAGAAGTCTGGTGAGCACACCTTGTCTGGGAGTCAGCTTCCCACTCAGCAGCACTGCCTCAAGTCTGTATCTCAATTTAAGAATAGTTAACATTTGATAACTCATTTTGTGCAAGCATTGTTCAGTCTGTTACACTGGTTTAGTATGCTACCTGGAAGAGCTAGGTGATACCATACTCATTTCACAGAAGAGGCCACAGGACATAGGTTAAATAGTTCATACAAGGTCATATGGCTTTTGAGAGACAAGTTGGCACATGAAACTGGAGGGTCAAAATGGAGTGTGGACTCTGACTCGGCATACCACCTTCAAAGCTGACCACTGGGATGCAGTAGAGGAATGTCCTGCTCCTACATGCCATCCCTACCCCTCCTAGTCCCCAGCCCCATGCACGTGATTTTAGTATGCCAGCTAGGGGCTTGTGGTTTATATATCTATGCTCACGGAGTCTCCTCTGCAACCAAGTTGCATGTGGATTAGCTGGGCTATTCTTATAGAAGGCTTGGAGATGTTTGGCTCCATTTCTAAATAATAATCTAAAATGCTTTGAGGATATCTTGGAGTAGGGAGCTCTAGATCCTGGCTGTGAGTAACCACGCTGCTTTCCTAGTTCCTCCTGCTACCTCCCCAACTTCCTCGGATAGGCGTAGGAGGCGTGGTGGAGAGCCCTGCTTAGTCTCCCGGAGCCTCCTGTTTGGCCATCAGAACATGTCTTAAATCCCTATAAATTGCAGAATTCTCTGTGCATTTGGGTTAATGTGCTTTCCTGCTTCAGATTCTCAAAGCTCCCATGACTCCAGCATGGTTTAGCATTAACTGGATTAACATGTCAAATTCTTCTTCAGTAAAAAACATCTCTGAAGCTCAAGTGAAGTGAACTTCTTTAAGCCAAGTGGCTCCTGGAAGTAGTTTACCTGCCCATTAAAATAACTTCCTGGCCTGCTATGGTAGCCCATGCCTTTAATCACAGCTCTCAAGAGGCAGAGGCAGGTAGACCTCCGTTGAGTTGCAAGCCAGCCGGGGCTGTGAGACCCTGGCTCAAAAACAAACCGCCTCCCTGGAATCAGGCAAACTTTGAAAATAGCCAAGGTCGTCATGGACCTAGCTCCTCACCCTCTGATTCTTTGTCCTCACCCCCATGCATCGGTTTCTTTGGGGTTCTCAGGGCTGGCTTCTGTCTGCTTGGGAGGAAGTGCTGTCTCCCCACTTTCAGGACCTACCTTCACCAACCCCTGGCTTCAGGAGCTTCAGGCTCCCCCAAATTCTGAGAGCAAAGGTGTGAGGGAAGGACCTACTTCACAGAGAGGGTCTCCATGGGGTCCTGTGAGCAGGAATTTATTCAGCAGGTCAGATGGAAGTTATCCCTGGAGTCTGCCAGAAAACAAACAAAACAAACACTTTCCAGAGCAAGTAAAATGCTGGGGAAAACCAGAGAGGAGGCCATATGCTCACACCAACCTGGCCCTTGCAGGAAAGGAGATGGGGATGGACCCACTCATCTTCCCTTTCCAAAATGGTGTGACCAATGATCAGTGTTCTCAGCGCTGGATTTAATTAATTTGATGAGTTTTTATTGTAGAAATATGGCCCGTGGTGGCATGAGGTGCAGACTCTCCTTCGCAGCACCCTGCAGCTGTGACCATTTGCCCCTCCACCGGGCCCCTTGGCCCTCGCTCTTAAAGGAAACTGGGTACTTGAACCCGAGCTGGACACAATGAAACCTTGCATCATTTCTCTATCGGATCCCCAGGGTCAAAGAGCAGGAGGGTTGGTAGCAGCTGCAGGGAGACGGCCATAGGGCCGGGAAGTCCAGTTCGGACAAGCAGCTCCTCGATAGTCCCGCGCTCACTCGCGGTGCCTGCTGCCCCTCTGCGAGCAAAGTCAGGAACTCACCAGGCAGGCCAGGCTCCTGCGTCCATCGTCCATCCGGGTGGGCACTCCTCTTTCTGGATGGTTTCCTGGCAGGGCCCGCTATATGGGACGGAGGAGCCACTCTCCTGGGGAGTACTTTCAGTCACCTGGACCAGGACACCACACGACCTCTTAACGGCTCTCCCGCCATCCCTTATTTCTTCAGGTCCGAAAGGGTCTTTAGGTCCAGGCGAAGTGTTCCAGGGGCCAGCGACTCCCTGCTTCTGCTGGAGGCTCTGCGAGGCCAAGACCAAGCGCCTAGAGGCCCTGACTCAGTCTGCTCTATACGGGCCGCGTTCTCCAGGGCGCACGGGCATCGCGCAGCGAGCGGTCGTGGGGCAGCGCAGCAAAGGCCGAGTGGCGCAGCTGGCAGCCGATGAAGAGGACGACAAGAGCCACCGACAGCAGCAGGAGGAAGAAGAGCAGCAGGTAGGTGGGCAGGTCAGGCTTGGTGGCCGAGCCGTCCCGAACTCCACGCGCAGTGGCCAGCTCCAGAGGCAAAGCACCCTCTGCCTTAACCGTGGCTCCCGGGGCCAGCGCGCCGCTTCCCGCCACCTCCGGGCCGCTGGTGGCGTTGAACACGTCGCCGTACATGGTCCGCGAGTCCTGCCGACCCCGGCAGGACCACCTCACTTCTGCGGCAGACTGGCGCCGCTCAGCGCCCCCATGGCATTCCCCTCCTGCCCCACTGCGCGCACCTGAGGAAGACTCGGTGCCCAGCAGGCGGCTAGGTCACTGAGACTCCGGGGGTGGGAGCGGGGTCGTCCGCTGCTCCAGAGGTTTAGCCTCGGCAACCCCGCACCTCGGGCGTTCCCGCTTCTGGTTGTTGCTACCAGGACAGAGTTCCGAGCCCCTGGCCCATCTCGCCGTTTTTCAGTCGCTCTTTAGCTGGGGTGAGCTCCGGAGCACTCCTGAGCTGCAGCAGCTGCAAAGGGTGTAGATGAATGCCGCAGCAACTCTGTGGGGCTCTGCGCTGGACTCGGGGTGCTCACGGATCCGCCGCTTCTCCAGTCCCTTGTCTAGATGCCTGGTGCGTTGCGAGCCTGTCCTGCTGCGCTCCCACCGCTGCGCTCCTGCCTGAGCTGGAGCCAGCCTGAGCTCCTAGCGCTTTCTGTCCTGGGCGGGAGGCAGGGAGGTGACAGGATTTGTAGCACTGCCCTGAGAGAAGCTGCGAACCAATGGATGAGGACCAGAACGGACGAGGGCAGCACTGTGCCTGCCTTGCCTCTCACCGCTCACCAGAGGATACTGAGGAGGGGAGAGGGAGAGAGAGGAAAAGGAACAGCGAAGGCCGGTAGGGGAGTGGGGTTTTAATTCCTCTTCCCAGCTGCTTCTCCCTGTCTGCAAAGCCTCACTCACACCTGGGATTGAAGGAGCTGGGATTTGAACCCGGGCTATTGCACAGTGAGTTGCCTCTCGTGGCAGAGTAGTTCTGGTAGCTGCTGTCATGTCTTTACCCACAGTTGAATATAGGACATAGGTTCGGGGTTAATGTCCCACACTGTCATAGTGCTGTGGCACCTCTGCCTACCCTAGACGGGATCTGGAACCCAGGAATGATGTTACTTGCCAAGGTTGCACAGCCGGGCTGTGGATGGAGCAAGGGAGGCCAGGCTCAGTGCCAGTCCACCTTTTTTGGGGGGAGGGTGGAACACAGCTAATTAATCACCAGCCACAGGCCATCAGACAGAGCATTCAATTGAGGGGTGAGCTGACTAGTTTTTTGTCAATTTGACACAAGCTAGAGTCATCTGGGAACCCCCAAAGGGAACCTCAACTGGGAAATTGACCGTGGGCATGTCTGTGGGGCAGTTTCTTGTCTAATGACTGATGTGGAGGGTGTGCTGTGCCAACCCTGGGCAGGTGGTCCAGGGTTGCACGAGAAAGCAGCTGAGCAAGCCATGGGAAGCAAGCTAGTAAGCAGCATTCCTCCATGGCTTCTGCCTCAGCTCCTGGCCTGCCCTCCCTCAGTGATGGCCTGTGACCAGGAAGTAAGCCCAAATAAATGCTCTCCTTCTCTAAGCAGGGCTTGGTCAGAGAGGCAAACTAGAATAGGCACGGCCTGATTCAGAGACCAAGTGCCGCGGAACACGCACACCTGCCTTTCCCCTCCCTTCTGCTTTTCTGGCTGTATACCCCCTGCCCCACACCCCGGGGTGTGGTCAGTTTGCGTAGGGCCCAGTAACTGGCTGCCCATTGCTCAGGCTGGGCACACCTGAGCAAAAGGTGCCTGAAGAACAGTTGTTCACACAGGGCCTGTGAGTACTCAGCTTCCACATGAGTTGGTCCCTTGCTCAGCAACTCTTGCCTGCTCTGCTCTCCCATAAAGAGGCAAGAAGAGAGCATGAGCTGGCCACTGGCGGCTCAGACTGATAGTCCTGGCAAAGGCTTGGTGGCCACAGCAGAAGCAGGCAGTCAGTGGGACTGGGGGGGGGGGCGGTGTCGGCAAGTCCTCATTTCATGCACGAGGCAAACGAACACACAGCTGCCAGCTCAACAGCCACGGGCTGCCTGTGAAGTTACTGCTTAGCAAGGCCAGAGGCAGGCGCTGCAGGTGAGAGGCACAGTGGCCCTCAGGGTGTGCAAGGGCAGACGCTTCTTTCTGTTTCACATTCGAGATGTCTCTCTCACTCCTTACCTAGCTCTGTTACCTCACCAACTGGGGGAGAGCTTTACACAATCAGCCATGCTCATGTCTTGTCTCTCTGCCCCCTTTCCTCCTCACATGAAGTAGTGAGTGCCTCAGGAAACCTGGGCTGTCTGCTGAATGAGCCAATGGGAAGAGGAGCTAGCTCTTCCCCGCTCCCACTGCACACTGGGCTCTTGGCCACAGGCAGGACTGCAAGAGGGCCAGGCTGTGGCAGGCCAGAAGTCATTCTCACAAGCTCCTCTCAGTAGTGCGGACGCCTCTGCACCCTCTGTCTGACTTGACGTGGTGGCCCCAAGCGCCAAATTGAACAATGTGCCAAAGTGCTCCAATGGCCTCTGCAGTCCCATGTAGGGGTTCTGGGGAGCCTCCCTGGACGAGGAGGGGGCCATGTACAAGTTAGGACACAGCAGGACTCAGCCCTGCCCATACCTGCTCAGCTGCCACCCTTGCCAGCCTTAGTCCTGGCAAGCAGCCTATGTGCATAAAGGACGTGGGCCCCTCGGCCTCTACATCTGGCTACTGTTTAAAGCAACAACTGGCTTTTCAGATGGGAAAGCTGGCTCTGAGAGGTGCCAGCACTTATCCTTGTGAGCACAGGATGCCATCACTGGCACAGGGCCGCAGCAGCAGGGGCAGGAGTTGCTTTTTCGGTAGGCCTGACCCATTTGTTACCGCACTTGATGGGAATTGGGGTCCTACAGGCATGCCAAGCCAGAACAGGCCTCACCATCACCTTACCCACGTGGTGGTCAGCATGGGGGCCGAATGGAGGTTCTGTTCTGGGTCCTTGTGTGGCTTGAATGAAAGGCTCGGGTGGCTAGGTCTGGGTCTTGGCCTGGAACTTGCTCCTGAGCACTGTATGGGAAGTGGTGAGGCCTACTTTGTCTACTTACACTGAGTACCAGCCTGGCTAGATAAGGGCCCAGGCGGTGGGTTTCCTACAGCTGGTGGGCAACTCAGGTGCGAGGTCCCCAGTGCATTCTGGGCAGGAAAACACCTTTGGGTTGTAAAGGGAGGCTTGAGAGCAGACGGATGCCTAGCCCTGCTCTGGTAGCAGGTTGTGTTTCTAGGACATGGCTGTGGAACATGGGTATATAAAGAGGGCTTGGTGTGAAGGGAGGGTCCCTGGAACACCGCAGGCTCTTGGTGGGGACAAAGTCATCTCTGATGCTGGGGTCCCTGACATCACTAGCTCCTTCTCCGTGCTGTGTAAGCCCCCCCACACACCTGGCACTGCAGGAGCTGGGCCACCAAGGCATGCAGTTGACTTCACTTGTGCCATTCTCGAGGAAGAATAGTTGCTAGTCATGCCTCTGTGCACAAATTGAGCACAAACGGACTTCAGCGTTCCTGCGATGGCACTGCTGTGCCTCTGTGTCCCCGCCCCCGGCAAGAGGTGGAACCTGGAAGAGGTCACTTCCAAGGTCACACAGCTGGGTTGCAGTATGAGGGTGCCTCAAATTCCACAGCCTGGGAGTGTCCACCCAGTCTATAAGGAGCATGCTGTCAAGCTGTCTTTTCTTTTGACAAAGTTAGAGGGGTACACTGCCCTTTTGGGAGAGCCATTGATGGGGAAGCCACAGTTTATTTTCTGAAAGATAGTCAGAACCCTGAGAGGGTTGATCACGTTCCCTGCACATCCCCAGGCAGGAAATTAAACAAGGTTGGTACTGAGTAAATGCAGAGATGAAGTTTACACAGCTTTTTATACAAGCCAGAGTGACCTTCCATTAAGGGCGCTTTGTGTACTCACGCATTTAAGTCATTGGAAAGATTATAAAAGGGGCCTCCGAGGCCGCCTTTGACTGGCAGAGGTCACAGGGCTGTGAGCTCACAGAGACCTCTGTCCCATTACGTAGTTATTGAGTGGCATGCATGCCTTTCCTGATGCCTGTCTGCAGAGACCGGAGAGAGATGGGGTAAGGACATCCTCCTGCCGTCACAGCCATTGGCAGCTGTTGAGGGGAAACTGGGGAGATGGGGAGCATGGAGCCCCAGGATTTTGTAAACTTTGCTGAAACTGCTGTGGTGCGTGGTGTAGCAGCAATCTTAGATGGTCTTATTAATAAAATCAAACCTGAGGCCAGTTATTGGGGTCAGTGCTGGACAATTAGAGAACCAGAACAAGCCACAGCTACCTCACCTCGCCGGATCCTCAGCTGGTTTTGTTTCCCCAGACTGGAGGCCTCAGAGTCCTCATCCAGAATGGGTCTCAGCTGAACTGCTGATCAAAACCTAAAAGCTTAACCAGCCAAATGATTAACCAGCCAAATGCTTCTAGTTCCTGGTCCTCACGCCTAATATATCTTTTTGTCTTCTGCCATCACTCCCTGGGATTAAGGCGTGAATCACCATGCTTGGCTGTATCCTTGAACACATGGATTTCTGCCTCTGGAATGCTAGGATTAAAGGTGTGTGTGCCACCATTTTCTAGCCTCTGTATCTAGTGGCTGTTCTGTCTCTGACCCCAGATAAGTTTATTAGGGTGCACAATATTTTGGGGAACACAATACCACCACAGCGTGGGGAAGTCATTTCTGTTTCTTCTCAGTGTTTGGGGATTCACTATGAAATCACTAGTGTCAAACAGAGGTGGGGTGGTGAAGTTTGGGGGTGAAGAGACTCCCTGTGTGTGGGGTAGATGGGCTCATACTTCTCCTCTGAGTGCTGAAGATGCCCTTCTTACAGAACATATTTTTGGTTTGGGGATTGGTTTGTTTGTTTATTTATTTTCATTTATATTTGAGACAGGGTTTCTCTGAGTGTCCCTGGCTGTCCTGGAACTTGTTCTGTAGACCAGGCTGGCCTCGAACTCAGAGATCCTTCTGCCTCCCAAGTGCTGGGATTAAAGGCACGTGCCGCCATTGCCCGGCTATTTTTATTTTTATTTATTTTTTAACTGCTTTTGCCTCAGCATCTGATTCAACCTGAGGACAAAGAGGAGGTGGCATGTTTCTGGTGTAGCACCCTCCACCTTCCTAGGGCTCCTCTCACAGCTGGTGTGCCCATTCTCCCAGCCACTTGCCTGGTCTCCTCTGGGAAACTGCTTCATTTTGGAGTCTTGGAGGCACTTGTTGTTTATTTCTTAAAATGGCCATTCTTAACTGGTAACCTTAGCCAGGTCACCAGGCACTACACTTGTTGAGATTATGTATAAAACAACAGCTAACTATTGCCAGGGGTGATGGTTTGGTTATCTCCCCTGGGAGCAGCTTCAACAATACCCAACAAACCTCTGAGAAGCATGGGAGCACCATGTGGGATGGGATGAAAGAAGCCACTGGGCAGTCACGGCACTGGACTCTGGAAAGGAGGACCTGAGAGGAAGCACTTCAGACTAAAATGTCATCAGCCAGGCCTGTGAGGAGTTCCCAAGCAAACACAGCCCCACTGGAATCTCTTGGGAGGCAGCGGCAGTTTTGAGCTTGCTGATTCATCGGAAGGCTACCGTTCTTGTACTCGGGCTGGGGCTGGTGACTGAGTGGTCTGTTGAGTTCTGGGAGAAGAGACGGATGACAGAGGCTCACCTTTCCTCAGAAACCTCCTCACTCAGCGCTGGCCCCA